TGTGGCAGAACCCGAACCGCAGACCTCGCAGAGCAGGAGGGCATCGGTGTGGTCTCAACAGATTTCGTTCCAGGGTGCGTAGCTAAGCAGGCGTGTGCCCCCCCCAACCCGTCCTGATTAACCTCTCACGTCAGGCGAATCCTGAAGGTTGTGACTGTATTAGAATTCTAACGTCAACGTGTCACGCTGCCATAACATCCCAGCGCCACTAGGTGGGGTGGCGCAGGGAGGGGGGCGCTGCGGCGTGGGGAAGGCAATGTGTCCTCTCTTTTGCTTTCACCTCTTCGTCCAGGGGAATGCAGGGGAACGCTGGCCAGGCCCCGACGCTCACGCCTCCCCGGTCGTGCGATGGAGGGGCTCCTAAGCGTTGACCGCACCTCTGCCGGTTTGGAGTTACGTGATATTCCAGCAATGGATGACGTGTCACTATTAGACGTAGAATATTAGTCAACCAATCATGAGGGCTCTCCTCTTTTGGGGGTTGCGGGGGGCAAATATTTGGAAGAACCCCCTCCCGACTGCTATGATTGGTTCGTGAGGTGCAGGAACAACGGGGTCTTGGTGTCAATCACCAGCCAATTAGGGGTCTTGGCGACAATCACCAGCCAATTAGGGGTCTTGGCGACAATCACCAGCCAATTAGGGGTCTTGGTGACAATTGATGAGCCAATTAGAGGGGTCTCTATGAACAGGGAACGGCGGTGGGGGAGGGAAAACTGCTGCCCTCCCAGAAAGCCGTGATATCGGAAAGATTTTGGCGGCGGGTGAGGGGGTGGTGGGGTCAGTGACGGTCCTGAGGCCGACACGGAGAGGGCACTGGTGCTACCCAATGACTTACTGTTTTCTCTCGCCCTCTGCCTCCCCACCCCAAAACACCGCAGCAGTTCCGGACGTCGATACTGAGAACCGTTCGCATTCCCAACAGACCTGGCAGGATCAGTTGCCCAGCCACGGTACATGTGTTGCGTGAACATAGGATTTGCCCTGCCTGACGCCCACCCCCCATGACGCAAGGACGGAAGCCATGGTCGGGGGGGGGTTCTTGTCGGTTCCCGGGCGCACCCTGTGCCAATCGAAGTGGCCTTCCCATCCTGTCGCCCCCGCCCCGTTGTTTCAAACACTGATCCGCAATGGAAACCGACCTCCACCATAGACCCGGGCGCTGACTTCCAGGAGCAACCCTCTCTTTTTACCCCTTCCGACCCGTTTCCTCCCCCACTCCATCCACTTCAAATTTCACCCTCCGTTCCCAATCCGAGCCGCCGCGTCATTTCACCATCCTGGCACCCACTTCCAAATTAGCGCGTTTCCGCGGCTGGCAGACTTTGGGGGGTGGGGGGGGAGCGAGGGATCAGGGATCGCTCAGCATTGTTCTGAAAACCCCAGTGAAACTTCGGGCGTTTGCGAGGGTTGGCGCCAAGGGCGCGGGCGCTGTCGGAGGGTCGGCGCCGAGGGAGCGGGCGCTGTCGGATGGTTGGCGCCGAGGGAGTGGGCGCTGCCTTCTCTCTGGCATCCCCTTGCACCACCCCCCCCCCCCCCCACCTCAAATACCCATGCCTGGGCCATCATCGCCCTCTACTGGTCACTGGTCGCCCTGTGGGATGACGCCAGCCTGGAGCTGCATTGCAATGGCACCCGAATCTGTCCCAGGATGGTTACGAGGCTCTCTGACCGCGGCGCGGGCAGAAGGGTAGGTCGGCAAAGGCACAGGCGGCGGGGTTGAGGGCAGTGCGCGGGATGGGGGTGCGGGGTGGATGCCTGTCTCTCTGTCTTACCCCCCCCACCCCACCCTACCTCACCTCACCCAACCCTGTGTTTTTGCCCCCTGCCAGCTACGGACGATGATTCGGGAAACAAGAATTCACTGCATCGTGTATCCATTTGGCCGCAGCAGCTCCCCCCGGCCCAGAGGGCTGAAGGTAACCATCTGCTGCGTGATGCGCTCGATCACCCAATCCCGATGTGATGGGACGGGGGAGTAGGGGGGTGCAGGAGCGGGTTGAAAACATGACTCGTACCGATTTTTCCCCTAACCCGCACCCCCCCAACTCCACCAAGTTTTGCTTCCCACTCCCCGATGCCGGTTTATCTGCGGAGCGTTCGCCCTCTTGACCTGTGAAAACCACCCCCCGCCGCCCCCCCCCACCCCAGCCCACCGCCGCATTCCCAACAGACCTGGCAGGATGAGTTGCCCAGCCACAGTACATATGTCGCGTGAACATGGGACTTGCCCTGCCTGACACCACCACCCCCCCCGCCCCCTCAGGAATACCCATGCCTGGGCCATCATCGCCCTGTACTGGTCACTGGTCGCCCCGTGGGATGACACCGGCCTGGAGCTGCATTGCAATGGCACCCGAATCTCTCCCAGGATGGTTACGAGGCTCTCTGACCGTGGCACGGGCAGAAGGGTAGGTCAGCAAAGGCACAGGCGGCGGGGTTGAGGGCAGTGCGCGGGATGGGGGTGCAGGGTGGATGCCTGTCTCTCTGTCTTACCCCACCCCACCCAACCCTGTGTTTTTGCCCCCTGCCAGCTACGGACGATGATTC